ACCTGTTCCTTCTTTTGGTGAAACTTTAGCTTGAGTTGAGACTTCACTCAAATCATTTACCAGACCAATAGCTTCATCTTCATGTTCCTGTCTCTCAGAAAGAATGTTAGTTTCATCAAAAACTACATGCACACTTTCTTCTACACACAAAGTTCTTTTATTGAACACTTTATAAGCTTTGCTATGTGAAGAATATCCCAAGAATACTCCCTCATCACTTCTGGGATCAAACTTACCTAGGGAGTCCTTTCCATTATTGTGCACAAAGCACTTGCATCCAAATGCCCTAAGATGGGATATATTTGGTTTTCTCCCTTTAAGTAACTCATAGGGAGTCTTCTCTACAAGAGGTCTAGTCATGCATCTATTAATGATATAACATGCAGTATTTACAGCCTCTGCCCAGAAGCTATGGGGCAGTTTACTATAAAGAAGCATAGTCCTAGCCATATCTTCAAGAGTCCTGTTCTTTCTTTCAACTACTCCATTTTGTTGAGGAGTCCTAGGGGCAGAGAAATTATGATCTATACCAAGCTCATCACAAAATTCAGCAAACTTAGCATTTTCAATTCAGTTCCATGATCAGACCTGATTGATGCAAGTTGATTACCTAGTTGTTTCTGAGTTTTTCTAACAAAGGCAGTAAACATGTCAAATGCTTCATCCTTAGATGTTAAGAATAGTACCCAGGTAAACCTAGAATAATCAGCAACAAGTACCATCACATATTTCTTACCACCTCTGCTCAATGTTCTCATTGGACCACAGAGATCCATATGAACCAGTTCCAACATCCTGGTTGTGCTTACCATTTTCTTGCTTTTAAAGGATGATCTTACCTGCTTCCCCCTGGCACAGGCCTCACAAACTTTGTCTTCCTTGAACTTGATGTTAGGTAACCATATCACCAAGTCCTTGGAGACTAGTTTGTTGAGTTGATTCAAACTTGCATGACCAAGTCTTTAGTGCCACTAGAGGGAATCATTGTCCAACACACTCAAGCAAGTGAGTTCATTTTCTGAGAGAGTGGACAATTCTACAATGTAAATATTGTTAACTCTTTTTCCCTGTAAAACAATCTTGTCAGTGGTAAGATTAATCACAAAGGATTTGGTAGAGCTAAATGCTATAAGGTTACCTCTGTCACACAATTGTGATACACTGATTAGGCTATATTTCAAGCCATCTATCAAGTAGACATTCTTAATGGAGTGTGAGTCTGTCTTACCTACCTTTCCAACCCCAATAATCTCACCTTTCATCCCATTTCCAAAGGAGACATTACCTTTTTTTAAGTCCTCAAGTGAAAGAAACTGGTTCTTGCTTTCAGTCATAATTTTGAGCTACTTCCCTTCACTTGGACCTGCAAAAAGAAATCAGGGGTTAGTCTTAGGAACCCAAACTAGTTTGGGTCCCTTTCTATAGGCAAAGGGGTAAATCAAATTCCTTTTAGCCCACCCCGGCAGCCTATTTTTCTCTTGAACAAAGGTTTTGTTCTTTTGACTGGCCTTTTATTTTGCATTACATTCATTTTTGTAATGACTAGTCTTGCCACAGTGTGTGCAGATTTTATTTTCAGGAAGAGTGAGGTACTTGCTTTTGGGGTCCCACTTAGGTGCTTGGGCCCCATAGCCAAGTCCTCTCTTGTTGCTACTGTGATGTTCTTGTAGCCAGGATAGTGCATCAGAAGCCTTATTCCATTTGTAGGTTCTGTCTAGTTCATGCTTTACCTTCCCTAGGTCTTCTTTCAAGACTCTTATCTGCTCATCTTTCCTGTACAACTTATCATTCATTTTTCTTAGGTTTTCTTTTAAGGTGAGATGTGTGTGATCAGCTTTCTTATTACCTGTTCCTAATTTTAGTTTTAGATTTTCAGACCTAAGTTCTGGGACATTGGTGTCAAGTTCAAGAACCTGGTTCTTCAACTCAGCATTTTTACTGTCACTCTCATTAGCCCTAGATTCTAGATTTTTGCACTTGGCTTTTAAGATCACACACTCCCTAGACAGCCCTTCCTTCTCATTATTAATTATCTCAGACTCATCGATGAAGTCTAGCAATAGTTCAGACAACCTTTCTTTAGACAGAAATTTAATCTTATCTTTGAGATGAAGCACACTTACCTCTTGTTCATCATCTGATTCTCCGATGGCCATAAGTGCTTGTTCATCTCCAGCTTCATCTTCTAAATCCTCATCTGATGTTTCTCCCCAAGCAGAATCCATAGCCTTTGTTGATCTTTTGTTCCTTTTGGGTTGAACCTGTTCCTTCTTCCTGTTCCTTCATTCAGCCCTTTCCTTCTTCCATTCAATTTCCCATTGAGGACAGTTCTTGATCATGTGATCAGTCTTGCCACATTTGTAACAACCCTAGTTAGTCTATTTCTTAGGAGCCCTTGGTTTGTTGAAGGTTGTACCTCTTGAAGAACCCTTTTCTCTCATTAGGTACTTTTTGAAATCCCTTGTGATCATGGACATTTCATCATCCTCCAAATCTGCACCTTCAACTATTCTGAGAGTTAAACTCCTTTCCTTCTTGGGTGAATCCATTTTCATGGTTTGCCTTCTCAATTCAGTAGATTCTAAACAGTCTTACTTAAGTGGGTGTTTTAGCTTTTGATGCTCAAGAATCAAGCCTAATGTTTTGAAGATCTAAATTCTATCTTTCAAGAATTCGTCATAATCTGAATAATGTATATGGGAACGGACTATTGACTTCTGCCTCTCTCTTTTCTCTCTCTTCAATAACGGTAACATCTTCATCATCTTCTCCGGCAAATCCATCGGCAAACCCACAGCGACGCCGGCACTCATCCAGGTAAGTACTCGTCTCCTTTCTCTCTCCTTTCTCTCTCCCCGCGTCCCTCTCTTTATCTCTCCTCTCTTTCTCCTTTCTCTCTGCCCGTGCCCCTCTCTTTCTTTCTCTTTCTTTTAACCCTAGCAGCAGCTAGGCCGGCGACCCACCGGCACCGTCTTATCTTCCTTCTACTTTTTCGACCCAACCAGACCACCCTCGTCGGTGTTTCCCTTTCTTCAAACATTTCTTCGCCGTATCATTGTTTCTCGGACCAACACTGTTTTCCGACGACCGTTCCGGTGACAGTCCCCTCCTTTTCTTGGTCCCGTGGTGTGTTGTGTGTGTTTCAGGTAGCATTTTTGGTGGCTGTTTGGTGACGGGTGGGAGGTGCACAGGCAAAGCAGAGCAGGCCACTTGGCAGTCACAAAGGGCTGGACGTCGGGTTCCAAAGCACCTGGGTTGTATTCGCGGGAATTGCTGCGGCTGCCCAGGCAAGCGCGAGGCATACGGGCGAGTAGAAAGGAGCATCACCGGGCGCATCAAGTCATATTTCCAGGTTCTTTCCATCTGGAGTTGGTACCTCCCGTTTTCTTGTCTCTTTCTCTATGTTAGTTAATTTGTGGCTATTTAGTTAGCATCACTTTAAGCATATTATTAGAATTTCTGTAGTTGCAACCGGTTATTTTCTAGTTTGGGTCCGTGTTAGTGTTTTCCGGAGTTTGTTGTAGGTATAGTGGTTATGGTGTGGGATGGTAGAGTAAGGTCATGTCCTCGAGGGAGACCAGGGGAGAGTAGGGGGGTGGGGAGGGGGTCAGGGGTTGGGACGAGAGAAAAGGAGGGTAAGGGGAAAGAGGGAGCGTGTAGATTGAGGAACGGGTCGTGGAACATAGGCACGCTGACGGGTAAGTCTATTGAGTTGGCAAAGATTCTCTAGAAGAGAAAGGTTAATATAGCTTGTGTCCAGGAGACTAGGTGGGCAGGGACGAAGGCGAGGAATGCGGATGGGTATAAGTTGTGGTACTCTGGAGTCGTGAGGGGTAAGAATAGAGTGGGTATCTTGGTGGATAGGGATCTTAGAGAGTCTGTGGTTGAGGTTAGGCGAGTGAATGATAGGCTAATGTTTATTAAGCTGGTGATCGGTGAGTGCACCCTCAATGTCGTTAGCGCCTACGCGCCGCAAGCGGGCTTGGATGAGGAGGTTAAGAGGCGCTTTTGGGAGGGCTTGGACGAGATTGTGCGTAGTATTCCACCTACTGAAAGGCTATTTATTGGAGGGGATTTTACTGCTAATAGTTATGGCGAGGTGCATGGTGGCTTTGGCTTTGGGGATAGGAATGGAGGAGGTACTTCGCTGTTAGACTTCGCTAAGGCTTTCGAGCTGGTGATTGCGAACTCGACTTTTCCGAAGAGGGAGGAGCATCTGGTTACTTTCCGGAGTTCGGCGGTGAAGACTCAGATCGATTACCTTCTCCTCAGAAGGTGTGATAGAGGGTTGTGCAAGGATTGCAAGGTTATCCCGGGAGAGACCCTCGCGACTCAGCATAGGCTCTTAGTGATGGACATCGGCATTATGATGAAGAGGAAGAAGAGGTATGCTCGTGGCCGACCGAGGATTAGATGGGGAGCTTTAACCAAGGACAAAGCCCAGGAGTTGGAGGGGAGGTTATCCGCTATGGGATCTTGGAGGAGAAGTGGAGACGCGAGCACTATGTGGTCGACGATGGCGAACTATGTGAGGGAGGCGGCGAGAGAGGTGCTAGGTGTATCGAAGGGTTTTTCTGGCAGGCCTCAAGGAGACTGGTGGTGGAATGACACAGTCCAAGGTAAAGTGGAGGCGAAGAAGGTAGCGTACGCGAAGTTAGCAGGGAGCACAAGCGAGGAGGAGAGGAGTGCGAATAGAGAGAGGTACAAAGTGGCTAGGAAGGAGGCAAAGCTGGCGGTCACGGAGGCTAAGAATGCAGCGTTTAGCCGTCTATACGAGGAATTAGGGGAGAAAGGCGGGGAAAGGAAGTTGTTTCGGCTGGCTAAAGCGAGGGAGAGGAAGGCCCGGGGTCTGGACCAAGTAGTGCATCAAAGACGAGGATGGTAGAGTATTGATGGGAGAGTCCCAGATCAAGCAGAGATGGCAGACGTACTTTTATGGTCTTCTGAATGAGGAGGGGGACCGGGATATAGCGCTAGGGGACTTGGGGCATTCGGAGAGTCTCCGAGATTTTAGGTATTGCAGGCGCATTAAGGTGGAGGAGGTCGTGGGGGCGTTACGTAAGATGAGTAGGGGTAGAGCGACCGGGCCAGATGAAATTCCGGTTGAGTTTTGGAAGTGTCTGGGTTGAGCAGGATTGGAATGGTTGACTGGGTTGTTCAATGTAATTTTTAGAATGAAGAGGATGCCGGATGAATGGAGGTCGAGTACAGTGGTACCGTTGTACAAGAACAAAGGTGATATCCAGTGTTGTAACAATTATAGGGGTTCAAGTTACTTAGCCATACCATGAAAGTCTGGGAGAGGGTGGTGGAGGTGAGGGTGAGGAAGACGACGTCTATATCCGACAATCAGTTTGGGTTCATGTCGGGCTGCTCCACTACGGAGGCTATCTACCTTATTAGGAGGTTGGTGGAACAGTATAGGGATAAGAAGAAGGATCTGCACATGGTGTTTATTGACTTGGAGAAAGCGTATGATAAGGTTCCTAGGGAGGTGCTCTGGAGATGTCTTGAGGCGAAGGGCGTGCCGGTAGCCTACATACGAGCGATCAACGACATGTATGATGGAGCTAAGACTAAGGTTAGGATGGTGGGAGGCGACTCGGAGCATTTCCCGGTTGTTATGGGATTACACCAAGGCTCAGCGCTTAGCCCGTTCTTATTTGCCTTGGTGATGGATGCTTTGACATACCATATTCAAGGGGAGGTGCCATGGTGTATGTTGTTTGCTGACGACATAGTTCTAATTGACGAGACGAGGATCGGTGTTAACGAGAGATTGGAGGTTTGGAGACAGACTCTCGAGTCTAAGGGTTTCAAATTGAGCAGGTCTAAGACAGAGTACCTGGAATGCAAGTTTAGCGCTAAGTCGAGGGATGTAGGCGGGGACGTGAGGCTTGGGCCACAGGCCATCCCCAAGCGAGATAGCTTCAAGTACCTTGGGTCGATGATTCAGGGGGATGGAGAGATCGACGAGGACGTCACTCACCACATAGGGGCGGGCTGGATGAAATGGAGGCTTGCATCTGGAGTCTTGTGTGACAAGAAAGTGCCACCGACACTCAAAGGTAAGTTTTATAGAGATGTAGTTAGACCGGCCATGTTGTATGGGGCAGAGTGCTAGCCGGTTAAGAACTCCCATATTCAGAAGATAAAAGTAGCAGAGATGCGGATGCTGAGGTGGATATGCGGGCACACTAGGATAGACAAGATTAGGAATGAAGATATTTGGAAGAAGGTGGGTGTCGCCCCTGTGGATGACAAGATGCGGAAAGCGATTGGGCACGTACAGAGGAGAAGCCTCGATGCACCGGTGAGGAGGTGTGAGCGATTGGTCGTGGTGGGTACAAGAAGAGGTAGAGGGAGACCTAAGAAGTATTGGGGAGAGGTGATCGGGCAGGACATGGCACGACTGCTCATTTCCGAGGACATGGCCCTTGATAGGAAGGCCTGGAGGTCAAGCATTAGGGTTGTAGGATAGGGGTAGTAAAGCTTTCCTTACTTTATTCTGGGGGTGAGGCGGGGTTGGATTAGGATTGGTCTTAGATGGCTTACAGTTTATGTTGGACCCACACTATTCTTGTTGTTTGTCTTAGCCCCGGGCCTTAGATTATGGTCACTGTTATTGCATGTCATTCATCTTTCGGTTTTTATGTTTCTGTTACTATTACGATTTCTATTGGAGTTACTAATGAATTCTCGTCTTTCTGAGCCGAGGGTCTATCGAAAACAGCCTATCTGCCCCTATCGGGGCAGGGGTAAGGTCTGCGTACACATTACCCTCCCCAGACCCCACTATATGGGATTTTACTGGGTAGTTGTTGTTGTTGTTGCCTTCTCAATTCATAGGCAGTGAGGTTTCCAATCAGTTCATCCAACTTGAGAGTAGCAATGTTCTTTGATTCCTGAATAGCAGTGATTTTGCTTTCCCTAGTCACCGGTAGGACCCTTGTCAAGATTTCTCAACCTTGTCTTCTTCAAGGATAATTCTCCCAAGAGATTTATGTTCATTTGTTAATGTTGTGAACCTTGTGTACATCTCCTGGATAGTTTCTCCTTCCTTCATAGTGAAATTCTCATATTGAGAATATAGCAGTGTTCCTCTTGATCTCTTTACTTGAGGAGTTCCTTCATGAGCCACTTGTAAAGTGTCCCATATCTCCTTAGCAGTTGTACAGCTTTGAATCATGTTGTACTCGTCTGGACCCAATCCACACACAAGCCATTTCTTGGCCTTGGCATTCTTTTCCCATTTCATCAAGTCTTCAGCAGTGCAGTCAGCTCTTGTCTTTGGCACGTCCACTCCTTCAGCATTCTTCTTTGTAGTCGCCAGGGGACCATCAGTGACTATGTCCTAGAGTTCATAGTCTTCTCCTATGATGTGATCTCTAATCATGTTCTTCCACCAAGAATAGTACTGACCATTAAAGAGTGGAGGCCTAGCAATGGATTGCCCTTCCCAGTTTCCAGGTAGTGCACTCATCTTGATCTTTTCCTAAGGTGTTAACCTCTTCAAGGATAACCTGCTCTGATACCAATTGAAGTTTTAAATGTCAATACCACACAAGAGGAGGGTGACTTGTGTGGTACCCAATTTTCGCTTAACTGAACTATAGAAGGACCTGGTTCTTCTATGTGTTCCAACTACTACTATTTGCGGAATAACAAATAAAGAAAATAAAGAACACAGAGATTTTTACGTGGAAAACACCTGGCTCAAAAGGTGAAAAAACCACGACCTGCTACTCGGTAGGATTTCCCAAACTTCCACTAAAATCACTGAGCCAAAACAGCATTTACAAAACACTTTGTAAACCTAAGGATTAACTCTAATCCCGTTGTGGCACACAGCCTCAACTGTTGCGATAACTTCAAGTTAACTCTAACTTGAACACTCTAGGTACCTAATACAATTGCATCTATGAAAGCTGAAACGTACAAAGTAAAAACACCTACTACAATTGAACTAGAATGAAAGACAGACACTTGAAACTGGTTCTTCTATCTTGTTCAAGTAGCTTCAGGATTACACACTTGAATCATACATAAATTGCTTGCAAAATCGCCTTGCTCTTTTGCTCTCAATTTAAGTTTAACTTCTGCTTATGTGCATTACCTGTAAAAGAGAACAACACTAATATTTAATAGGTTAGTAATCAGAGATTGACCGGAATTCAAATGCTACTCTTCTATCGTAGAAGAGTTCAAGATGATCTCAAACTCTAACACTATCTCGATCTCAACTGTGTTCTCTTCATGTAAGGAGTCTTTCTCTCCTTATCAATATGCAACCTTTTCGATCAGATCGGGAGATATTACTTCTGATAAGTTAGATTTATCTCCTTCACATGCATCTCACATGTTTGGGTCGATCATGACTGTGCTGCACAAGATGGACCTGGTCCATGTCTGAGTTCTTTTGTCAATCTTCAAAACTTCACCTATTCTTGGGTCAACAATAATTGAACAAGATTTCCATTACAATTTTCCTGAATACTCTCTTCTCTCATATTTCTCTTAAACCCACAACTTTTCTCATCGCCATTGCTGAAATTCTCGAACTTCTCCGCTAAGTTCCTGAATCAGCAGCTTGATCCTCGAGTTCTTTAGTGAATTCCTGCAATTAAGCTATCAGTAGTATCAGAGTGATCCTTTCCTTGGCAACAATGATAAAAGGAACGGCAAGAGTCACTGAAAATTCACTATCAGAAGTAGGTGAATTGCGTGAATTGATGCAAAAGATGATTTCAGAGATCGGAACTTTAGCAGAGGAGGTTTCTAACCTCAAAAAGTTAGATCAAATTGTACTTGAGTTGCAAGAGCAAGTGACAACTGCTACTGGTCAACGAAGGGAAAAACACCATTAGAACATGAAGAAGAGCCATTTGATGGAAGTCCTCAGAGATTAAGGGATGCCAGTCACCATAATGGTCGCAATTCCAATTTTTCACGATGATCTAGGATGGAATATATGAGATTTGCTGGGGAAGATTTGAGATCTTGGTTGTACAAGATCGAATAGTTCTTTTCTATGGAGAAAGTAGTTGCTGAAGAGAAGGTAGAAGTGGAAGCAATTCAGTTAGAAGGTGAAGCAATCCAATGTCATTTATCATTCATGAGGTACAGACAATATCTTCATCATGCTACATGGACTGAATATGCTATGGCAATGGTGGAAAGGTTTGGTACTAATTTGATGATCCGATAGAAGAAATCAGAAAGGTCAAACAAACTAAAAGTGTCAAGGAATACCAAGCCAAATTTGAAAGGAATCTCACTAGAGTAAATCTGTCGCAAGAAAATGCAATTAGTTGCTTTATAGGTGGGCTGAAACACGAGTTAAACATAGCTGTAAAGTTAAAAAATCCCACCACTTTGTCTCAAGCTTAAAAGACTGCTAGGCTACAAGAAGCTTATGTTGCTGCTATCAGACATCCTGCTACTGATCAAGGTGGTCAACAGTCAGATGCTGAAAGGTATGGAGATCCAAAAGCTTACAACAGACCTCTCCTACCAACCCCAAATTCAAGTAACTTGACAGCTCTGAAGGGGTACAATAGAAGAATCTTGAGTATAGAGGAGATGAATAAGAAGAGAGCTCAAGGTCTATGCTACTTCTTCAATGAGAAGTATGTGCCGGGTCACAAGTGCAAAAACCTTAAGCAGTTGTATCTGCTGGAACTAGAAGAACCAGAAGAAGGCCAGCTACTTGAAGAGGATATAGAAGGAGAAGTAGAGGAGCAAGGACTAGAGTTGGCTCAACCTTTGGACTAGCTGGAAATATATTCATGCTCTAAATGGATCCTTGGAATTTAGAACTTTTGAGAGACTAGTTATCATTCTAAGAAACCCCTGCAGATATTGGTGGATACAGGAAGCTCCCATAATTTCATTGATCCTGAAGTAGTGGCCAAACTTGGGTGTCCTATCATGCCAACCACAACCCAATTAGTAGCTGCAGCTAATGGTAACATGGTAAAGGTTGACAAGATTTGCAGAATTTCTTGGTTGTTGCAAGGGGCTAAATTCTCTGCTGAATTCTTGCTATTGCCTCTAGGATCATGTGGTGTAGTATTGGGATTTCAGTGGCTATTAACTCTAGGATATATAAAGATGAATTTCAGAACTCTTACTATGGAGTTCTACTACAAAGGAAAAAGGCATGTTCTGAGAGGAGCAGGCAAACAAGTCATAGCTACTGGAGTTGGAAGATTGACTAGAGCTGCAGGTAATCATTCTGAGCTTTGTATGATTCAAGTAATACCTACTATGTGTAATGAGTTACAATGGTATTCCTTAGAGTCTAAAGAACAAAGCAATGTAGGTCCACAATTGTTAACCTTGCTGAAAGAGTTCAAAGAATTGTTTGTGGAACCTACACAATTACCATAATCTAGAGGAGTTTTTGACCACAGAATTGTGTCGCAATCAGGAACTGAACCTATAAACAAGAGACCCTACAAGTATCCTTCAGTGAAGAAAGATGTGATAGAATCCATAGTACAACAGATGTTAGACCAGGGCATTATACAACCTAGCAGTAGTCCTTTTGCTGCCCCTGTTGTCTTAGTTGGGAAGAAGGATAGGTCTTGGAAATTGTGTGTTGTCTATAGGGACCTAAACAAATATACTATAAAGAATAAGTTTCCCATACCTATGGTGGAGGATCTATTAGATGAATTGGGAGGGTCTAAGATCTTCTCTAAAATAGATCTAAGATCTGGGTATCATCAAGTGAGAATGCAAAAGAGGATGTGCCTAAGACTTCATTTAGGACTCACTCAGGACACTATGAGTACCTGCTGATGCCCTTTGGTCTGTAAAATGCACCAGCAACATTTCAAGGTTTGATGAACTCTGTCTTTCAATCTTTTCTCAGAAAGTATGTACTAGTTTTCTTTGATGATATACTCATCTATAGTAGGAGTATGGATGATCACTTGGGGCATCTCAGATCTGTATTCCTTGAAATTGAGAAACACCATCTGTTTGCTAAAGAGAGTAAGTGTTTCTTTGGAGTTAAAAGTATAGAGTATCTAGGCCATTTCAATACTGAGGAAGAGTATCAACAGATCCTTAAAAATAGAAGCTGTCAAAAACTGGCCCATACCAGCCAACATTAAACAACTGAGAGGATTTTTGGCTTAGTTAGCTATTATAGAAGGTTCATACAAAGCTTTGGGATCTTTTTCAAGCCATTAACAGACCTCTTGAAGAAGGATAACTTCAAATGGTCGCCCAAAGCTACTGCTCTTTTGAAGAAATTGAAGGAGGCTTTGACAAAGGCTCTTGTATTAGCACTGCCTGATATTAACAAAACCTTTGTTGTTAAAACTGATGCCAGTGGATAAGGGATAGGTGATGTCCTCATGCAACAAGGACACCCCGTAGCCTTTATCAGCAAGCATTATCTACCAGGCATATGGCACTCTCAGTGTATGACAGAGAGTTATTAGCATAGTTCATGCAGTCATGAATGGTCTCAATATTTGCTTGGCCAAAGGTTCATTATCAGGACTAACCAAAGAGCTTTGAAGTTCTTAATGGAACAAAAGCTTCATACCAACTCTCATCTTATGTGGCTGATCAAGCTCATGCCTTTTGACTATGTCATTGAGTCACAAATAAGGTGGCAGATGTACTTTCTAGAATGCCTTGAACTGAACTATTCTCCCTTGTATTATCTAATACCAGTTCTGATCTGATGCAAGCTATAATGGATAGCTGGGAGACAGACCATGAGCTCAAAGCATTGATTGAGCAACTAACAGCTAATCCTTCAACCCACCCACAGTACACCTGGCAGCACAAACAATCGAGGAGGAAAGGGAAACTGGTAGTGGGCAACATTCAGCAGCTAAAAATGCACATCATTGAGTTGTGTCATCCTACACCACAAAGGAGGTCATTCAGACATTGAAGCAACATTAAAAAGGCTTATGACACTATTTTACGGGAAGGGAATCAGGAAGGAAGTCCAGTTATTTGTGCAGAGATGTGATACTTGCCAAAGAAGCAAATCTGATCTAGCAGCCTACCCTGGCCTTCTACAACCACTACCTATTCCAGATATGGCGTGGTCACAAATCAGTATGGACTTTATATATAGGTTACCAAAATCCCATGGTTATGAAGTCATTCTTGTGGTTGTGGACAAACTAAGTAAGTATGGTCACTTTATTCCCTTAAAGCATCCTTATACTGCCCAATCAATAGCCAAAGTATTCCTGGATAACATACATAAATTGCATGGCCTCCCAAACTCAATTGTTAGTGACATAGATCCAGTGTTTTTGAGTTCATTCCGGCAGGAGCTATTCTCAATACAAGGGGTACAATTGAACACTTCTTCAGCCTATCATCCTCAGTCTGATGGGCAAACTGAAGTTCTAAATAGATGTTTGCAAACATATCTCGGATGTTTCTGTAATGAAGACAGCTCTAAATGGTATTCTTGGCTACCTATGGCTGAATACTGGTACAATACATCCTACCATTCAGCTATTAAAACCACCCTTTATGAGTTCTATATGGCAGACCTCCCCCTCGCATCTCCCTTACTTACCAGGTGAATCAGCCTCAATTGAAGTTGAAAATACACTGATCAATAGGGAGCTGCAGTTGCAACTACTACCATTTGCTAAGAGCTCAACTAAGGATGAAACAACAAGATGATGCTCACAGGAGTGACAGACAATTTGCAGTTGGAGATTGGGTTTCTCTAAAGATCCAACCATATAAACAAGATACTGTGTCAGCACAACCATTCCACAAATTAGCAGCAAAGTATTATGGACCCTTTCAGATCTCCAAACGAGTAGGACCAGTTGCATATACCCTACTGTTTCTACCATCAGTCAAAATACACCCTACCATTCATGTATCACTACTAAAGAAATGCCACCAACTACCCACTCAAATTGCCTACCCTCCCACCACTGATATAGCCAGCCCATATTGTCCAAACCCACAGGCTATACTACAAAGAAGGATGGTAAATAAGGAAAATAAAGTTGTCGCACAAGGACTGGTGAAATGGGCAGGACTTCCTGCTGATTGTGCGACCTGGGAATTTTTGATTGTATTGAAAGTTAGATTTCCTCATTTTGATCCTTGTGGTCAAGGATCTTCTGCAGGAGGGAGTATTGATACAGAAAATCCAGCCCGGAGTTAGTAGAATGAGTTGATGTTAGTTAGAAGCAAAATTCCGAAAATAAGTTAGTTAGATACCGCATCAGCAGAAGTTAGTTGGGTTAGTTACACGAGTTGTTAGGAGAACAAATTGTGTTAGACAAGTTGTATCCATTCCATTTCATATAAGTACATTGTAATATACAGAAGTGAATACGATTTCCATTACAATTTTTTCAAATACTCTCTTCTCTCATAATTCTCTCAAACCCACAGCTTTTCTCATCGCCGTTGCTGAAATTCTCGAACTTCTCTGCTAAGTTCCTGAATCAGCTGCTTGATCCTTGAGTTCTTCAGTGAATTCCTTCAATTAAGCTATCAAACTCCCTCAAAATTGAGATATAAACTCTAAAGGATATTCATATTCATTTGCAACAACACCTAGTTCAAACAAAAAAATATTTTGCAAAACCCAATTTTCGAATTCAGAGGTTTGAAGCTTTTAGGAGTTCTTAACGAAGTTAATAGAATATGCGAACCAAATAGTCATTTTGATTGTGATGCCGATAATAAAATTAAGTCCAGTTTTTTTTCTTTTGCAGACGGATGGAATCTGTCTTGACAAGCTAGGTTACTCGCTGTTAGGGACTTCAAATGAAACTAGAAGATTGAAACACCACGACATGTTGTCACACAAAAAAACGAATATGTCTGCAGCAACCGACAAGAAGAAAAT